CCCCCCCACGGACTCTCCTGCCCTCCTCACAAGTCAAATTTGTGCCAAGGCAAAGTGGCTTTTTGTTTCCCGGGGAAGAAAGGGAGAAACGAAACGAAAATTCTTTGGGTTGGCAGGCATGAGGTGTTTCTAATGTTCCACGGGGGAAACAGTTTCCTGCTTCCCATCCCATCAGAGTGTGGCATTTCAAAAACAAAAAAACAGTAGAGGTGTGCAGCAGAGTCAGAGACAAACAGATGTGCATGTTGACTGAACGAACAGCCACCTGCATTGTCACACCACTCACTTGATACTTGGAACGTCCAAGCACCTCCAGTGCCTCGAGATCCTTTGCTCTTTGCCGCGAGGCCGGTCGTCGCTCCTGGAACCCTAGGGGTTGCCCGTGCCGGTCGCTCCCTCAGGGTTCACCCCCAGTATACGGGTGCGGACACGCATGCAGACGCATCCGGTTCTCGTTGCGCCCGCAACCACTCAGCTTTCATAATTTCCGGTGTGAGATGGCAGATGAACGAAGGACAAGAGGGAGAGTAGAGGACGATGATGTGGAGCAGGGAGCGGACGCGGCGCTAGCACGCCGAGAACGGACAACTCACCGATTTCCTTTTTATAATTTTTTTTTTCTATATCCCTGTTTTGGTTCGATTTGCTGGTCTCGTCCTGGACACCGGCCAAGCGGCTGGCCGGTGGCGGCCACTTTGCAGAAGACTGACCGGTTAAAAAACGACCATATGCCGCCGGCACCAAATTGTTTTTTTCCCTTCTTCTGTTCTGCTGCCGTATATACGATCTCACCCTTGGGAGCATCAGCCACCCGTTCACCGCGTGAAATTTCCACATTGATAAAGAATGCACTCGCAGACCTCAACTGATTTTTGTGTCGGTTAAAACGTTCATGTATCTCTTTACACCAGGAATACTGAATTATTATTCCGTATAGTTTTGTTTAGTAATACTAAATAAACGTGAAATTTTCAGGATGTGAAAAGAAATAAAAACCTTTTTAAAATGAAAATGAAATAATATATTCTTTCTTTTCTATACTCTAAGTCAAAGCCTGGCGGTTTTCCTCCATGAAAGAAAATGCAAACCGAATAGTTTTTTCCTATCGACCCCGCCCCTCTCCGATAGTGCGGTATAGTGCGGGTGGCGATGACTGGGCGATAACGTCTTTGGCCGTTTCTTTCCTGTCGTGCCGCGCCATAAGTAACGCTTCATGTAACACTTCGTGTCGCGAGGGGCGTGGCGCCGCGTGGCAGGTGGCCGCCGCCCGGCCCGGCCCGGCCCCGCCCCACCCCGCTCCTCCCTCGCCTCGCCCGGCCGCTTTGGCAGCTCGTGGGCGTACCGGGCGTGCGGCCCGCTACGCAGCGACTACGG